CAGAGGGATGCAGCAGTCTCAAAATTGCAAAGCTTCTGAAGCGTGATCATCGAACAATCAAGCGTTTCATTCAAAATAGTCAACAGGGTCGCAAGAAGCGTGTGGATAAACCATGAACTGAGAAAAGTCAAGCGTGCAGCTGCCAAGATGCCACTTGCCACCAGTTTGGCCATATTTCAGAGCTGCAACATCACTGGAGTGCCCAAAAGCACAAGGTGTGCAATACTCAGAGACATGGCCAAGGTAAGAAAGGCTGAAAGACGACCACCACTGAACAAGACACACAAGCTGAAACATCAAGACTGGGCCAAGAAATATCTCAAGACTGATTTTTCTAAGGTTTTATGGACTGATGAAATGAGAGTGAGTCTTGATTGGCCAGATGGATGGGCCCGTGGCTGGATTGGTAAAGGGCAAAGAGCTCCAGTCCGACTCAGACGCCAGCAAGGTGGAGGTGGAGTACTGGTTTGGGCTGGTATCATCAAAGATGAGCTTGTGGGGCCTTTTCGGGTTGAGGATGGAGTCAAGCTCAACTCCCAGTCCTACTGCCAGTTTCTGGAAGACACCTTCTTCAAGCAGTGGTACAGGAAGAAGTCTGCATCCTTCAAGAAAACATGATTTTCATGCAGGACAATGCTCCATCACACGCGTCCAAGTACTCCACAGCGTGGCTGGCAAGAAAGGGTATAACAGAAGAAAAACTAATGACATGGCCTCCTTGTTCACCTGATCTGAACCCCATTGAGAACCTGTGGTCCATCATCAAATGTGAGATTTACAAGGAGGGAAAACAGTACACCTCTCTGAACAGTGTCTGGGAGACTGTGGTTGCTGCTGCATGCAATGTTGATGGTGAACAGATCAAAACACTGACAGAATCCATGGATGGCAGGCTTTTGAGTGTCCTTGCAAAGAAAGGTGGCTATATTGGTCGCTGATTTTTTTTTGTTTTGTTTTTGAATGTCAGAAATGTATATTTGTGAATGTGGAGATGTTATATTGCTTTCACTGGTAGAAATAAACAATTGAAATGGGTATATATTTGTTTTTTGTTAAGTTGCCTAATAATTATGCACAGTAATAGTCACCTGCACACACAGATATCCCCCTAAAATAGCTAAAACTAAAAACAAACTAAAAACTACTTCCAAAAACATTCAGCTTTGATATTAATGAGTTTTTTGGGTTCATTGAGAACATGGCTGTTGTTCATTAATGACTTTATTCCTCAAAAATACAACTTCCCTAATAATTCTGCACTCCCTGTATGTAGTCCATCTCCACCATCACTCTTCATCTCACTCACTTAGTTAAAACATGATACATTTACTATCTGTCCCACAGTCCTACCTAAAGTCATCAAGCTTTTCAGTCTGTAACCCTTTCTCATTTCTCACTTTCTACATCCTCCACTGCTCTCCTCACATCTTAGCTCCGCCCACCAGAGATGTGAGCAGAGGAGCCAAGGAAAGGACACGAGGAGAGAGGAGTCATGGAAAGAGTTGTCTAACAAAATCCAGAGAAATCCAACAATTTATTTTCACTTATTTAATTCATCCAGTTACTTTAGAGGCTCTTAAATGAAGGATTTTGTTAAGAAAATGTTTTAGTTCCTCACATTTTTATACAATCTTTTTGTTCAACCCACTGAATTAAAGCTGAAAGTTTGAACTTCAACTGCATTTGAGTTTTTTCCTTTAAAATTCACTGTGGTAACCAAAATTACAAAATGTTGTCTCTGTCAAATATTTATGGACCTAACTGTATGTCTACTTTTAATTAAAATCTCAATATGTGTTATCAGTTATCATTAATGTTTCTGCAAACAGACTCGTTGGAGACCCCCTACATAAAGATCCATGTACTATCCAACTAGACTAGTGTGTCTGTCCCTAAAAATACTCCTCCATGTGTGATTGTTCATGTCTCATCTGCAGGACACAAACAGGAAGTGAGTGAAGGACACAGGAAATGTTTTCAACTCTTCCTCCTCTATCAGACATTCTCTTCATACCTGAGAGTGTCCAGTGGATCCTTCAATCCAGCCGACAGCAGTTTCATTCCTGAGTCTCCTGGATGATTGTAGCTAAGGTCCAGCTCTCTCAGATGGGAGGGGTTGGAGTTCAGAGCTGAGACCAGAGAAGTACAGCCTTCCTCTGTGATCAGACAGCCTGACAGACTGCAGACACACAAAACATGAATCCATCTGTGAACAATGACTTTCTGTTTGTCAGATACAATAACATTATCCATTTACGTCCATTCAGTTTAATTTAACTTTATTTATAAGTGACTGTTTCCGGATAAGGTACCGGACTCCGCAATACAACTACCGGGGTTCTCTGTGCACCGTGCAGACAGGTCACAGGATCTTACTGGTAAAAGCAGAGGCGGTGGTGTGTGTTTCATGATCAACAACAGCTGGTGTGATTATGCGAACGTGCACCCGGTCAAATCCTTCTGCTCACCGGACCTGGAATACCTGATGATTAAGTGCCGGCCATTCTGGCTACCGAGGGAATTCACAGCAGTGATTATTACGGCTGTACATTCCCCCACAAGCCGACACTGACCGAGCACTCAGGGAACTGTACAGCACGATCAGCAGTGAGGAAACTGCACACCCAGAGGCGTTTATCATGACCGGGGACTTTAACAAAGGAAACCTGAAGAAAGTTTCACCAAAACTCCACCAACACATCCATTTCAACACTCGTGGAGACCAGCACATGTCCGACTACCAACCTCTGTATATTTTATATACTTTATTTTATTGTTTACTCTATTGTATTTGTAAAATATGTATATATACACACACACACACACACACACACACACACACACACACACACACACACACACACACACACACACACACACACATATTTAGTATACAAATTCAGTAATATGCATACACTCATATATTGTACATATATTTATTCATATAATTCTCAGATTTAGCCATTCTTATATTTTGCTTGTTCTTATGTTATTGTACTTTGCACACCTCTGTTGCTTGTGAAGCTCGCACACAAGAATTTCACTCACATGTACTGTACCAGTTTACCTGCATATGTGATGTGACAATAAAAGTGATTTGATTTGATTTGATTTAACAGTTTAAGGTAACTCCCTACAATATTAGAAAGTCCCAACCATCAGGCAATCAACTGTGAGTAGTGCTTGGTAATGGTGGGAAGGAAGAACTCCCTTTGATAGAAAGATCCTACCAGTGAAAACAGGCTACAGGAGAACCATCTACAATGACTGGCTGCAGGGTGAGGGGGAAGAGAAGAGATGAGCTCAGAGAGACAAGAACAAATCACAAACTAACAAGAGAGAAGACAAAAGTTAAGAGCATGCAGTAGTGACATATAAAAACATCAGTAGTGAAAAGAGGTGGGCGGAGGAGAAAGAAGAGTATCATGGGAAGTCTTGCAACAGCCTGGGCCTATAGCAGCATAACTCAGGATCACCTGATCCACCTCTAACAATAAGCTTTATCAAAAAGGAAAGTTTGAAGCTGATCTTAAAAGTAGAGAGGGTGTCAGTCTCCGGAACGCAAACTCAGAGGAGAGTGTTCATCTGCACAAGTTTAACTTGTCACAAAAGCAGAATTCCCAGTTAAACATTATTTTGCTAAACATGAAGCTTTTACAGCTTTTCTCAGTGATCAATATATCAGGATGGGGACGGCAGTGACATCACAGATTTACCAGAATAAAATCTATGATCTCCATCTTTTTAACTCTGACACTGTGGACAGTGTTGCTGTTAGATTGGAAGTTTCTGGCACTGCAAACATTTACTGTGTCGCACACTGATCAGTTATCAATCATTATTTGACTAGAATCAATCACACTGATGGAAACGTGTGTCACAGGTGGATTTTGGAGATGTCATGACCTTTGACCTTTCTTAAGAGAGTCAGCTGTGGATTATTCATTGTTGTGTCTGATACTTAGAACTGTGAGGAAGAATGGTACACAGTTAATCGGGGTACCCTTTATCTGAATTAGGAAAGGTTGGCAGGCCGCGTGTGGGCCACGCTGAGTATCACTGTTTGAAATGTGAACATTGTTCTGCTACAATCAATGGACTAAACCAGAGAAGAAGTAAACAGACTTTACAATGAAGATCCTCAGTGTGGATCAGTATAATATCAGCCTTGTGTCTGCAGTTTAGTGTCAGCACAACTTTCACATCATATTCATCTCAGCACAACTAAAACCTGGTGACTGACCTCAGAGTTTTGAGTCCACATCCTGAACTCTCCAGAAAGCCACACAGCTGTTTCACTCCTGAATCCTGCAGGTTGTTGGAGTTCAGGTCCAGCTCTCTCAGGTGGGAGGGGTTGGACTTCAGTGCTGCTACCAGATAATCACAGCTGATCTCTGACAAACCACAGCTCCCCAATCTGTATAAAGAATGAAAGATCTAAGTTTATTAGACAAAGTGTGTGCTTGAAATCAGTCAGTGTTTCATAATCTTTTCAGAGCTGAAGAAGGTTCAGAATGTAGAAGTTTAGAAAATGGAAACTCCAAACAGCTGAAACCAACAGGAAGCAGCTTAAAAAAAAACACAAGAGAAAAAATCTCTGAATTTTTCACATTAAAGTTGTACATTTATCATAAAAAACATAAAAAAGTCATGTTTTTTCATTCCAGGATCCCCATGTTTTTTAAAGGTGAAGTTGGAAAGAAATGGACATATTTGAAGGCCATCACCTTTTTTCAGTCACATTATTAAAGCAGACAAACTACAAGCTCATTTTCATTCCAACAAGTCATCTTCTGACCTGGACTAACAACACTGGCCTCAACTGTGTTTAATATTTAGGCACGTAGATTATTTATGTGCTTCAGCTCTTCTTAAATTTTACCACCAACGCGTTTCAGGAGGAGCAGCTTTCAATTTGAAGGCCAGCTGTCTCTGTTTCCTGTTTTCATTGTTCTTCAGTGCATTAAATTGTGTTACACAAAAATAAGAAAAGCAAAGTTTTCGAGCGTTGAAGAATGAATTCACACGTCAATAAACATTTTCATCAGCACAGGCAGGAAATAGCCCAAAACTGCTATTTCTCATTCTACAATTTCAACAACTGCACATGAATTATACTTCATACACAGACCCACAGTCTCTGATTGCTCTGAAATCTCACTTACAGCTAATGGAAATAAAGAAAAGTCCAGACTGACAGTTTGCTGTCCTTGCCCTGAGTTTCCACGTTTTCACCAGCTAGACAGTGAGATAACGATGATTCAATATCCAGACTTATTTTCATTTCTGTGCTCATTTATTAAAGACCGGCCTCTCACCGTGGCTCTCTCTTTGACCATCATAAAACTGAAAGCATACGAAATATTGTGTTAGCTAACCAACATTGCAAACTAGCTTGTTACACGCTTATTGCAAGCTAACAAGATAAAACGTTCATCTTAATCATAAAAATTATCATTAAGCAAAACAAAACAAAATTATGATTTTATCATCATTCATACTGACGGACAAATGTCGTCCAAAACTACAACATTTTAAGGTTCATATGAGCTTAAAACAATAATACTTCAGCATCACGGTGAGCCATCTTGGATTTTTCTTTTTTCTAAAGTAACCAAATAAATATTACAAAGCAGCCACTAGAGAGAGGGCAGTTTACAAAACTGTATATTCCATCTTAATTTTTAAAAGACAGAACCAATGACTGTATAAAAGATGGACAACACGACACCACCTCCTCCCATTGTGCAAAAATAAAGCCAAAATACCCTGCTTGTGGAGGCTACCATCTTGCATTTTTGGAGCCAGAGTCTGCGCAGTAGTGACTTGAGGTGGAGCGACTGTGTAACGCTCCCACCCACACACCCGCTAGACGTGACCGCAAACACGCCCCCCTACACTTTTTACGTAGCCCGGCTGCTCTAGTTTTTTCCTGGTTTACCACGTCCCCCTGGCGTTTACTGGCGTTCCCCCAGACAAGCTAGAGGAGGAGGCTGGGGAGAGGAGGTCTGGGCTTCTCTGCTTAGGCTGCTGCCCGCGTGACCCAGCCCCGGATAAGCGGAAGAAGATGGATGGATGGAACAAATAGCCTGCTCATTGGTGTGTCAAACAAAACATGCCACAGAAAACATGAACCGAACAATACTTCTCTTTTACAAAATATGTGACTGTAAAAACTCCTCAGACAGTAATTAAGAAACTCATAAGCCCTCCAAAGATAAATAAAAGGTGAAAGGACTGGTTCTTATATAGCTCTTTTATACTCCATCTGAGCACTCAAAGCACTTTATACAACTCGTTCATTCCCCCAATCACACCCATTCACAAAAGAACATTATCTAAGCTGTTTTAGTGCTTCATGCACATTCACACTGCATCGGAGAGCAACATTCTGGATAGTAGCTGACCTGCTCTACCACCTGAGCTACAGCCACCCCGGTCAAAGGTCACTCGCCAATTCTACAAAGCTTGGTTGTTTATTGTTTAATATCATTCAGACCTTAAATGATAAGCAGTGGGAATGTTTGGATCCTGACCTGAGAGTTTCCAGTGTACAATGTGGACTCTGTAGCGCAGCAGACAGAAACTTCACACCTGAATCCTGCAGGTCATTGTTAGTCAGGTCCAGCTCTTTCAGAAAAGAGGACATGGAGCTGAGAACTGAGGACAGAGCATCACAGCTTCTCTCTGAGAGGTTACAGCCACTTAGTCTGTAAAAAAACCCCAAATTAATTAAATCAGTCAAATGAATTTTTAAAATGCCACCATGCAATACAATTACTGGTTGACTAAATAGCTTCATTAAAACACAGCTGTCCTTCTATCAGCACTTACTCCTTGTAAGCCTCACCTCCTCCACCTCGTAATTCAGAGGACATTAACATAAACTGTAAATCTTGTATAAACATAATTTCTGAATCATGTTTGGAAATGTAATCTTCTCTGATCCATTTGCATAGTTTAGAGCCTGATACTGAAATATATCTGTGGACAGCACGGACATTCACAGCAGCAAAGATCACAGAAGATGACTCTGTTCAATAAATATTACACTCATGCTGTCAAGAAAGACCAAAGGTAGGTAAAACTCTGGTTGTTGCAGCCATCCAGTAAGACATGCTTTGTATTTGCTGTTGTGCTGTAGTTTGTGACACCTGGTGGATGAGTTGTGAAGGATGATGAAAAGAAGATTCAAACCCAGGCCCTGGAGTCACAACTCTAACCTTCAGTACATCGGTCACCTGCTCAGCCAGGTAAGCTATAGCAGCAGTCAGCAGTGTGTGAGTTAATTTGAAGACAATGATGAGAATAGCTGTAAGTCAGGGGAAAAAACAAGCAACTTATTATAAGAAGAGCAGGTTCAGGGAGGGACAACCATCTGCTCCAACCAGTTTGGGAGTGAGGGGAGAGAGCAGGCCAAAAACAACAAAGAAACAAAAAACACACTGTGGAAGACCGAGGCAGAGTTTAGTAATTAACTCAATTCAACAGTGGTGCATGAACACATGAAAGTGGAGAGAGGTGGGTGAAGAAATAATGCTCATTACATCCTGGGAAGAGCCCAGAAATCTAAGCTTAAAAGTGTAACTAAAGACGTTTCTGTGGCTACAATGATTCACTGAGTAATTCAAATGCAAATGCTTTGTTTAATGCATGAGCCACCATGCATGTAAAAGTGAGTGTTTCACCAATATTTGTGACCAAAAATAGACCTGCAGTAGAAATGTATCTAAAAGCATGCATGTGAATATAAGGTATTACAACATTTGGCAGTTTTTAAACAAAGACTGATAACACAACTGCAGCAGTGATGATCATAGTTTATGGTAGACTCAGCGTTTCAAGTACACAGAGTTCTTGGGCCATCAAAGAGGTTACAGTTGTATAGGAGTAATCCCAAACTTTAGGATACAAATTCATACAAATACAGAAAGCCTGGTGAAATAAATTACTGACACAGTTGGATGTTTGAAGTAAAATATGAGTACAAATGTACTTACAGAGCTTTGTTGGAGGTTTTGAACACTGGCAGCAGCCTCAGAAGAGCCTCCTCCGAAGCAGAGTATTTCTTCAAGTCAAACACATACAGATCTTTTTCTGATGACAGTAAGATGAAGACCAGAGCTGACCACTTAGCAGGAGACAGTTTATCTGTGGAGAGACTTCCTGATCTCAGGGACTGTTGGATCTCCTCCACTAGAAAACAATCATTCAGTTCATTCAGACAGTGGAACAGATTGATGCTTTTCTCTGCAGACAGATTCTGATTCTTACTGAGCTTCTTCTTGATGTACTGGACTGTTTGTTGATTGGTCTGTGAGCTACTTCCTGTCTGTGTCAGCAGGCCTCGTAGGAGAGTCTGATTGGTCTGCAGTGAAAGACCCAGGAGGAAGCGCAGGAACAAGTCCAGGTGTCCATTTGGACTCTGTAAGGCCTTGTCCACAGCACTCTGGTAGAAGTATTTCTCTGAAGATTCTCCTGTTTCAGATTTCTTGGAGGTTGTTTGTTGGTCTTCCATCAGATTGAGTCCAGAGTTGATGAAAGTCAGATGGACATGAAGAGCAGCCAGAAACTCCTGAACACTCAGATGGATGAAGCAGAACACCTTGTCCTGGTACAGTCCTCTCTCCTCTTTAAAGAGCTGTGTGAACACTCCTGAGTACACTGAGGCTGCTCTGATATCAATGCCACACTCTGTCAGGTCTGATTCATAGAAGATCACGTTTCCTTTCATCAGCTGATCAAAAGCCAGTGTTCCTAGAGACTCCATCATGTTCCTGCTCTCTGGACTCCAGTGTGGATCTGTCTCAGCTCCTCCGTCATACTTGACCTTCTTCACTTTGGCCTGAACCACGAGGAAGTGGATGTACATCTCAGTCAGGGTCTTGGGCAGCTGTACTCCCTCTTTGGTATTCAGCACATCCTCCAGAACTGTAGCAGTAATCCAGCAAAAGACTGGGATGTGGCACATGATGTGGAGACTTCGTGATGTCTTGATGTGGGAGATGATCCTGCTGGCCTGCTCCTTATCTCTGAATCTCTTCCTGAAGTACTTCTTCTTCTGTGGGTCAGTGAACCCTCTGACCTCTGTGACCATTTCAACACACCTAGGAGGGATCATATTAGCTGCTGCAGGTCGTGTGGTTATCCAGAGGTGAGCAGAGGGAAGCAGTTTCCCCCTGATGAGGTTTACCAACAGCACATCTACTGAGGTGGACTTTCTAGGGTCAGTTAGGATTGCAGTTTTGTGGAAGTTCAGAGGAAGTCGACACTCATCCAGACCATCAAAGATGAACACAACCTGGAAGTCTTCAAAGCTGCAGATTCCTGCTTTTTTGGTTTCAGTAAAGAAGTGATGAACAAGTTCCACCAAGCTGAACTTTTCCTCTCTCAGCACATTCAGCTCTCTGAAAGTGAATGGAAATATGAACTGGATGTCCTGGTTGGCTTTGTCTTCAGCCCAGTCGAGGGTGTATTTCTGTGTTAATACAGTTTTCCCAATGCCAGCCACTCCCTTTGTCAGCACTGTTCTGATTGGTTCATCTCTTCCAGGTGAGGCTTTAAAGATGTCTTCTCGTCGGATTGTTGTTTCTGGTCTGTCTGGTTTCCTGGATGCTATTTCAATCTGTCTAACCTCATGTTCATCATTGACCTCTGCAGTCCCTCCCTCTGTGATGTAGAGCTCTGTGTAGATCTGATTCAGAAGGGTTGGGTTTCCTGCTTTAGCGATCCCCTCAAACACACACTGGAACTTCTCCTTCAGAGCAGATTTAAGGTTACGATGACAAACTACAGCTTGAAGTTCTGAATGAGAAGAAATATGTAGAATATCATTTGAAAATGAAAATATACACTTAATTCCAAAAACAATGAATCTTTAAAACACGTTGGTCTTTCTCTTAAGACATTAGTAAATGTTTCATTTATCCAGCAGCTTAAATCTTTAGAGAAATCCTCTTACTGCTCTGCAGACGATCAGCCAGCTCCTCCTGCTTCATTTTCCTCAGGAACTTCAGTGTGATCTTCACAAATGCCTCTCTGCTGCTGCTCTTTCGACTTGCTAAGCACTCTGGGTAATCTGCACTCAGAACCTTCTGGATCTTCTTCAGCTCGTTCTTCACAAAAGTGATGATGTTGTCCTCCAGCAGCTGGAACAGAATACTTTATGAATGAGCCAATCAGACTGAAATCATGGAGCCAAACATCAGATCCATGTTGGACACACTTACAATCCACCGGTCTACAAAGAGCAGCATGGAGAGGACTGTGAACACAATAGATGTAAAAGTAGTTGTTGTACATGTACAGACCACAAATATGGAGTCCAGTTGCGTTTGATGCTGCTGGACAGACTGACCACTGGGAACCTCTGAGCTCTCCTGGTCCACTCTGTGGAGGAACAATGAAGAATTAGTTCAAGCACAAGATAAAGATCCAGTAGTTTCTGCTCAGGTAACTTCATCTGAATCAAGTTTGTCATGTTTTAAACTCAGATTGTGAAAATATCAGGCATTTTCAGTCTGTTTTATGGACTCTCTTTCATTGCTGATGGATGATGTTGCAGAAGCTCAGACTTCATTAAATTGAACAAATTAACTCAGTGGGAGGTAAAACTGATAAACCATCAACCACCTCTACAAGCAGTTCATTGCTCAAAGACCAGAACATTATCCCAGGTCTGCCCTCCACCACTATAACAACAGCTTTACAAACTGGGTAGATTAGTGTAGGACATGTGAGAAATACCTGTTGTGTCATTTTGTCACAAATCATCTGACACCTCTGAGTTTTTTCTAAAACAAACTTTGTATATTGAATGAATTTGTGAAAGTTTTACCGTCATACTAATAATACAATTGCAATTTGGTTCCTTAGTCATCAATTCATAAGTTCAGGAAAGTAGATGCGTTTTTCAGGGCAACCCCCCACACATTTAATCTCTATTGAAATCACTAAACAAATGTAACGTCTAGTATAAAGGTCACAATCTGAAGATCAAATCAGTTTTTGTTCCCTGTGATTAAGTCTGAGCATCAGTATCCTGGGATTTATCCACTACATCCACACTACTGTTGTTCAGTGTTCTCCTGGTAGAGGTCTCATTAACACCACCCAGTATGATCCGGGCTTTAGCTGCTTAGACGTTACCCTGGGTCTCTTTGTGACCTCTCAGACTGTTTAACAGATCAGACACAATGACAGATCAGAGAGAGAGCAGCTCTGTTCTTTAAAGACAAACATGAACCCACTCAGTACACACTTTCCCCACAGATATGAGCATATCTGTCCTGAAACAGTCTGACATTTTTATCTTTTTGTTTCATTGTTTTCTTTGTAAAAATCTGAGGATTTTTCAGCTCGTATTTATCCAGGAAAACGCAAACATCTAAAGGAGCTCATCACAGTTCTCTGACCTCGTTGGTCCAGGTTCATCACTGAAGTATGGAGGTTCATCTTTGGACAGGTCACTCCTCACAGACAGACAGCTGGATCCTGCAGACTGTGACCTCTGACTGCTGCAGGCACAAACATGTTTTATTCAACGATAAATTATCTGATGAAAGTCATTGAAGCAGCTCTGATCACACAGACTGCAGATAATGCAGCTGTTTCCTGTCAGTAACAGTCCTCTTAGATTAGAGTACAGCTTTTTACAGGAAAACAAATGTCCCTGAATGCAACAGTGAGAAACAGTCTGCCTCTGTGGCTGTGATAGCTGCCGTTCATGTGTTTGCAGTTATACGAGGAGATGTACCATCATGGAGATGTTAACAAATCCTCAAATCCTACAGCATCACGTGGCACGCACAAACAACTTCCACTGATCAGAGCGATGTCCTCTTTAAGGTCTGCAAACCTTAGTTTGCTTTCTAGAGCAGTGTATCATCCTCACAGAGCACAGCTGGCATGCTTGTTTGTGTTAGCTTAGCCACTAGGCTAAAGTCAAACTACCCACTGCTAGCAGCTGTTTCCATCATAGTTTAGGATCCAGATGTGTGAGCTCTAAATTTGCACCTGTGATTAAAATAAATAGCTAAAAACAGCCAATTGTGTCCAAATATGTGTTAAAAGCAGATAAAATGACAGTTACACCTGTGCCTGTGTGTCCTTTGAGACACTACTCTCCTACAGAGATGCATTTTAGAAACCAGTAAACATCAAAATCATTTAAATCAGACAAACTGACATCAGTTCATGTTACTGACAGCTCACCTCTCTGCAGCAGACACTTTAAAATCAACGAGACCACCTTTAGACGTGTCACTCCTTAAGGACACAAAGCTGGATGGAGGTCCAGGCTGGTTCCTGTGAATAATGATGGAGCAGTGATGCGAGTGCTGAGCTGTGACATGGAGAATAGTCATGGACAGTTAGAGATGGTCATCTCACCTCTGAGATTTGGTCTGGCTCTCACATTCCCCACACAGAATGGTTTTAGAGGGAGGGACTCCCTCCTCTCTGTCCTCACACTGATCCATGCTGCTCAATTTACATCCACATCAGCTCACAAACACTTTCTACCTTCACCTGCAGAGAAAACACAAATCATTCATGTGCACATGAACTGAAATCCTCTTTTCCATCATGTGTGCTGTCCAAATATCAACTCCTTCTTTCCTGCTTCATCTCAGTGTCAGCTGAGAGAATGACAAACCCACTATGTGTCAACATTTGATGGATGATGACACAGAAATGTGAAGTGATATTGACCTAAATGTGTCCTAATGATAATGAGAAGCTTTGATGAGTTGTGATTGTGTGAGCTGTTACTAGGATGTTAGCCCAGCCCTGAAATCTTTGCTATTTTCACTTGATAACAGAAGCTGTTATATATATATATATATATATATATATATATACCTAAATAGATACAAGCAGGACGCATGTTTTCATAGTGTTATTTAGCCATCAGAACATCCTACCTAAATAAATGCAAGCAGGAAGCATGTTTTGATAGTGTGTGTTATGCCTTTTGGTCAGAAGTCAATAGTTAATGCATAGTCTGATTAAGTTACATAAGCAAAGTGATAAATAAGTTCAAAGTTAAGAAATATTATAAGTGATTCATGCTAAAAACAGTTAAAATGTGTGGGTTCGAAATTTGCTCAGAGTGAATCATCGTTATCACAAGTGATCTTGTATTGTATGTGAGGAAACGGGAGCGAGGGAGCGCTCTGATCATTAACATATCTTTGACGTATTTTCTCCGTTAATGCCGTGAAAAGTGCTTCGGCAGTATTAAAAGAGTGAACGAGTTCATGTACACGCTAAGAGTGCCCTACACGCTTGTACCTTGGGAAACGTTCTTCTTTGTGAGTATTAATATGTTCAGAGATAACTTTTATATGTGTTTACCTGGAGTGAACAGCGATGTTAATGTAACGCATGTGTTAAGCTAGGCTAAGTTTGTCATTAAGATGTGTATTAGCTAGCAATTTATTTTCATTTTCTGTATATTTCAGTTACAAATAAGAAATAGCAAGGAGAAACCTTGAGAGAGGAAAGGCTTTAAAGGATCTTCATTAAAAGCAAGCCTTGTGTGGAAGATCTCCTCTATTTTGTTCGCTAGCTGTCTAGCTTCACATGGTCACGTGTCGTGAGGGCAGCGTAGTGTGATTTGGCCATTTGAACGTCCTACCTAAATAAATGCAAGAAATTGATCAGTGTTGTCTTTGCTTACTTACTGTTTTTAGTGTTAACAATCCACATTGCAGGCACTGCATCTTTCAACATGTTTGTGGGTAGATTTGGATGTACCAGGTGTAAGTGCAGCCACTCAGCCTTTACTCGATGTGATCATAGCAGCAGGTGCAGATGTGTGTCACAAGTTAATCTAGTAGTAGGCTATGGTACTTGGCCACAGGTGGCAGCAGTGGACTGACCTGCATTGGAGACTGGTCCAGCTGCTATGTGGTAGTCAGTAGATGGGTTCCAAATTGAGGATTATATCCAAGTTTTGGAGACTGTTTATTACTGATCACTGTGTAACTGTGGATCATTATTAGATTGACCACACCTATACAGACTGTATATAACAAGCAACTCTAAAATGTTCATTTGCAGAGAAAAGACACACGCAGACTATGCTAACGACATGTGAAATTACAACACTGGTGAAATATTAGTGTGTCATATATTTGTTCACGACATTTTTCTTATGGGCAAAAGTATTGATATCATGATGAACAAGGGTGGTGATTCTTATGACTTTGTGTATATAATTTGCTATTTTGTACAAATGTAGGCTGATAATACATACATGATATCATTTCATTCATTTCAAAGGTTTATTTGCATGACGCATAAACAGACACAATTGAAAGGTACAAATGTATTGTGCATGAAACGAATTCAAACGTGCTGCAGATGTGTGTCACAAGTTGATCTGGCTGTAGGCTGTGGCACTTGGTTCACTCGAGTCCATGTTAGTGCACAAAGTAAACTGCACGCTTTAGTAATAAAACGTGCGAGAGGAACGATAACGACGACAAGAGTCTCCCGATCGTTTACTCTTGCTGTCCTGTGAACGACATCGGCGTGGTGTTAATTTTTTGCTGTTTTCGCGATCGTGTCGCGCATGAGGATATCACCAGGTACACTTGCCACATTTTTAAACATTTTGTTGTTCAACAGCATCAACACTGACGGAGTGTGTTTGAGACAACCTCACAAGTGTCACAGATGACACATTTGGTGTTTTTTTTTTTTTTTTTTTTTTTTTTGCTGGTTTGTCGGTAGCAGCTACTGAAATGCAAGTCTGCCATACATCTGTTCGACCAACGCCAGTTGATCTAAACGGCAGTAGATCTAAACGCCAGTTGATCTAAACGCCAGTAGATCTGGAACACCAGCAGCTTTACAGCTGTGGCTCCAGCAAACATCAGCTGATACTAGAAAGTAATATTAAATAAATGCTAACAACAGCTGATCAAGCTTAAACGTGTTGTTCTTGTTTAGCGTGACATCCACTGGTTTCCTCTTTCTGGCGCAGAGAGAAAAGCCGATCAGCTGATCATTGATCAGTTTCATGATTGAATTAGCAACTTTCTACCTTAAGTAGTGATAGGGAGAAATCACGTTCCTTTTCACCTCAACTTTAAAGTTCAACCTTCCCGGCTGTAATTGGTCCAGTCCCGAGTCGATGGCCAATCCACCACCATTCATTTATACCGTTAAAAAAAAGAAAAGAAATAAAACCCCATCTGCCCATAAAATCGAAAAATCACAAGTGGCCCGGTATGCCCGATGGCCAGTCCAGCCCTGCACAGCTGATGTTAGCCAGAAAAACATTACACACCGACTTTAAAGGAGAGACCGGAAATAAAAACACACAGAGTTAGTTGTGTGAATAAATCAGACATGAGCTGAAGAAACAGTAAAGTTCCTAAAGTCAAACTGTTAAAGGAGGAAACAAAGCACACTTACAGTTTCTTCAAACACACCAACAACAAGCTCCACTTACTTCCTCATTGTTCAGCTGCTTCCTGGAAAGCCAGTAGTGATGTGTCAGTCTCGAACGAAAGTGAATGACGCAAGCCCCGTCTCCTTATTGGCAGCCGTGTTTTGTGTTTGTTTTTCTTTCTCTCACCCTCTGTCTCACACTTTTTTTTCCGCTTCACTCCGCATGCGAGGCTTGTGCTTTGCGCTGGGTCAGGGGGGAGGGGCGGTAGCTACACTGGCAGTAGCACCGGTGTCCTGGGAATCCATCCGACCTGTTGTTTCTGCGCTTGCGCGCAACACAAATTTCAGTGGCAAATTGTCCTACCTTTGTGAATATTACCTAGAAAAATTCTCTGACCGGTAAAATTAACTGCCAAACCAACCTAGTTCAAAAAAGAATGACTTCATATAGGGAAAAATATATATCACATGTGCAGGACACCTTAAACTAGTTTTTTAATTAAGCAGGAAGGCAGAACAAAATCGGGGCTGTATCAAGACACGAGGACTAAACCCCAATTCAACCAGACCCAGAACTGATCCGGAATTAAAACAGGACTACAACAGTTCAAAATCAGGACTAAGGATTTAACCAAGACAGAACCAGAGTCAGAACTAGATGATAGTAGCACTAAAAATCATCATAGACCTGCACTACACTTATTGTTTTAATTCTACCAAAGTACACTATTTAGACTGAGAAAAGTTTATATAATTATTTAGCCTTGTTGTGCGAACAAGCCTGCATAACTTAATAAATATAGAATTTGAAAAATAACAAACCTAAAAAGAAACACTAGGTACGAGATACATGAGGACCTGTGATACAGTAATACTTTTGGTAAACAACCATTTGACTAACATGTGTGTCTCACCTGCTCTTGTTCATCTCTGTTCTGTCCTCATTCTCTCTCTCTCCCTCTCTGTTCCTCTCTCTCCATCTTTGTGCTGACAATCATCAAATATACAGTTGAAACCAGATATTTATAAACTCTTCAGATCAAAACACAAACACTTTTTAATTGTAACATCAAATCAGACTAAATGTTTATTTTTTTAGATTGATAAATATAAAAAACATATTTGTTAACTTTAAGAGTAAAGAGAGAAACTATCTGTGTTTCTTAATTGTAAATGGCACCAAATTGTATTCAAAATCGAGCCACATGGACTCTACTAACCTATCAGAAGCTTCTTCAGCTCAGAATGGAATAGTCTGCAGTTTTCTTATTAATTAACAATAAACTTAGTGTACATGTACTCCTACATTTGATGTAAGTGATAAAAAATAGACAGTTCTGTCTCTCTTTATTCTGACATTCAACTAATTCAAAAGATATTTCAATATTTATTTATCCAGAACAAAACAAGTTTACTTTAAATTGATGTTGTACAGTAAAAAATGTTCTTGTGTTTTCCATAAAGTGTGTGTAAATATCTGGTTTAAACTGCGAATATACTGCTGTGTATTGAAGTTCCTCTTGTTTTGCATAGAAATGTACTGAACAACATACAAAGCATAATATATAAAATACTACCAGAGTTTTTTCTTTGAAAGAAGCCCCTTATGTCCATTCTTGTATATCAGTGCATTACTGAAACTGATTTATTTAGCCGTGGAGGGAAACAACTGAAAATATGAAATAAACATACATGTAAGCTAAGACTCTCTAAACAAAAAACAGCATTGTTGTTGTTCAGCTTTTCATTTCGCCATTTGTTGATTCACTCGAAGAGCAAGTAACGTAATATGGGTCAAGTGATCAGTTTGATATCAATCTTTCGTGATACACCGTCATATTTACATTATTTGTACAGTACGAATGATGTGCTTTGGTACCTGGTCAAACTTCAGTTCTCCTCTGTCTTCTTGGCTCCATTTTTCCAACAGCGCACTCTTACGGTGTGTTCACACCGAACGCGATGGACGCGAATAGAGCGTCAGGTTTACATGTAAAGTCAATGGAAAGGCGCGATGATGCGCGATTGCGGGTCCCGCGAAAATTCGGAAGCAGATTTGCGTCGCGAAAACGCCAAAACGCGTGAAACGCGCGTCAGT